CACAAACATGCTAATCAGCACTTCATTTGCATTTCTGTTTTCCTCATTTGCATTTTCTCTTTCGGAAGAAGAAAGCAGTCTGGACGCAGCCTTGGTGTATTATTAAAAGGCACTATGACTGGTAATTAAGCCAGTATGAACTTCACTTTACTAAAAAGTAAGCAGTCAAGAGAGAAGTAACGGTGAAAAGAAATGACAAAACCAATTGGACTCAGATGTTACATCTTTCACATTCATTTTGCATAAGTGGTGGTAAGCAGAATTCTGTCCGACAACGCAGGAATGAAGCATACACTGACCTGTGTACATTTTCCATTGCCGCTACTTCTGCTAGAGCAGCGAGGCTAAAGAATGCAGACACAGCTGGCATGCCTGGTGTAATACTATGTGTTTCCTCGGCTTCTGTGTTTCTAGAGCGCTCGTCGTTGCAGTCCGTCTCTGCACTTGATGTTTTCTGAAAACTACTCTGTGGTAGCTCCTTTTTTTCTTCTACAACAAAAGAAAAATTAAAAAACTTACAGGCAGCTGGGCAATAAAGTCAGTCATCAATATCTTGAATGGCTAGGCTAGAGCTGTGTACTGAACAGTGCTTAATATAGCGGGGGTAACATGCATTTTTCCATAATTAATTGGAGATTTTATCATCTGTGTATTCCACATTTACTTACTGGGGCACTCTGTCCTCTTCTAATGGCTAGATGATATAGGAGTGTATGAATCTGCTATGTGTTGTGATCTATCAAAATTGGATGTTTTAGTTCAGGTAGCAGAAGCAGCTGAAGCTTTTAAATCCAGAGGTCCCAAGTTCAATCCTCTTTGCTGACAACCCCACGAGGGACATCAGTTTACCCCTGTATTTATACACATTACAGGGTCAAATTTCAAATTTAACTGTACCCCCTGTGTAAGACATACTACCTTCACTTTACTGGATTGGTAGCATGGTATATTAGGAAAGGAAAACTAAGTTCCAACAGTCTCTGTATGCCCCTTCCACTCTCATATAAGAGTTGAGACAGACTTTTTTGACATCTAAAATTTTTATCCAACAATAAATTGCCTGTTTGGAGCTAATTGGTTTCCTAGGTGGTATGACCTAATTAGTACATGTGTTTTTACAGAATTATTTTTCCAGTACAGGCTTAGTACCTCTTCCCTATTAAGGATATGATTCTCTACTAGCTTACACCTCCGAACCACTCTTGACAAACTAGATTTATCATAAATTTACTCATCTCCTTACCCTGAGCCCCTCCTGCTGGTGACACTCGGCCATCTGCTGTCCGAACAAGATGCGTGATCTTAGTTTTCCTCGCTTTCCTCTTTTGGCTACCGACCAAGGGTTCGTGCAGCAGTGCTGGCTCTGGAGTATTTGGGACAGATACACAAGTTTTATTCTTCCGTGCAGGCTCAATGGTGTTTTTGTCTTCTGTGAGTATGGCTGCAAAAGGACAAGTCAATTACAATTGTAAGTGAAATGTAAAACAATACAATTGCTAACTATTAACACACATGACACTTACTATACTTGGGAATAGGACTGCATGAAATGTTCACGGTTCAAACCATGTTTGTGAACTGCATCCTGTATTTTGGGTTTGCAAGGAACAGTATTGGACCAGTTCTTTCAGGTTTCCTTGAGAGACATGTTTCTATTGTTTTAAAAGGATTTAGCGAGTGCAAACAGTTTCACTGTTGGGCTGCTGTATCCCCTTCACCCAATCTCCTTTGTTGGGCAAAGTATTGCCACTTCTTGCTGCAAGAGGACTTTTTTGGTGAGCGGTAGTCTGCTGTAGACGTGATACAACACAATACTTAGCACTCACAGTGCTTTTCGTCTTCAGAGGGAGTTAACTAATTAATGACCTCTGGGAGCTGGATAAGGATAATACCCACTTTACAGATAGGGGAACTGTCAGCAAAGATAGGTTAAATGATCAGTATAAAGTGAGAGTGTTGAGTCAAAGAAAAATTAGAACACTGGAATTCTCAACTTTCATTCTCAATCTTACTCTCTCCACCTACACTTTGCTGTCGGCTCAAATGGATAATATTGTTGCCCATTTAAAGAATAATAAATACACAAATAAGGAAATGATGAAAGGGAATTAAATAAGACTGGTTAAAAGGTAAACACGTAAAAGGAGAAAACAGACAAGGAATAAAATATTACATGAGAGAACTAGTGTATACCTGAATACAGACTTTGTCTACAGAACAACAGCTACAGCAGCATAATGACAGTGCTGCTGTTGTGCGGATGGAAGAGTTGTAAAATATGTCTACATTGCACAGTCAGAAGGGGTTTTCCCATCTCTGTACTTGTGACCTCTCCAAGAAGGGGTGGGGTGGGGGCTGTAGCTAGGTCAACATTCAAATTCTTAAATTGACATAGCTAATGGGTCGACCTAACTATTACACAGGGCACAACATTCTTCACTGCCCTGAGCAATGTAGCTAGGTCAATCTAGCTACAACCAGCTGGTGTCTTTCAACAGGAGCTCTCTCTCTTTCTTTCATGATTTGAAGATGTGCATACTGTATGCATTAGCACTTCTCAAGACCTCAGGGGGAAGTGCCAACAAATAATATCTAGATTTAGTTCACCCTAAAATCTGGTCTTCTAAAAATAATTCAGTCTGTTTGCATGTTTCTAGATTTGATAAAAGCATACAGCAGCTCTCATCTATCACTTCTACTTATCAGAAGCTATTATCCTCCATGCATCAGTAATGTGGTGTTACTGCTGGGCAAGAGACAGGGGAAGAGCAGTAAGCAGATTGACCCACTATATGCAACAGCGAAATCTAGTGAATCTGGTAATTTAGATTTAGTGAAATCAACTGGGTTTGAAGACTCCACTTAAAAAAGTAATAATAGATATTATTAATTGACAGCCTCCTCTTTAGATGTCCTATTTTGTGTTTTATAAAGATTGATTTGTGTGCTAATCTAATGATTTTCTACCTTTGAATTACAAGTAATGTTTTGATTTGGTGACTTGATTTTAATTTGACCTTATTTTGAAACTGTACAATTTAATCTTTAGTTTAGAAGAGTTTACAATGGTTTAATCTTAATATGTTTTCTTGATTTTATTTTTGATTGTTAGCTTTAATAAAATGTATACAAAAAAAACCCAGAAAGAAGAAATAGGCAATGGTTAGAACAGACAAAGGAAGAGATTAAAAACCATTAGGAAAATAGGCAAAGGTGAAGGTTAAACAAAAAAGAAAGAGTAAAACGTCAGAACATAAGAACGGCCATAGGGTCAGACCAAAGGCCCATCTAGCCCAGTATCTGTCTTCCGAAGTGACCAATGCCAGATGCCCAAGAAGGAGTGAACAGAACAGGTAGTCATCAAAGGTACGTCTAGACTTCATCCTTCTGTCGGCAGAGGGATGCAGATTAGACAGGTCGACATTTCAAAAGAGGCAGGGATTTAAATATCCTGTGCCTAAGTTGCATAAAAATGGCCGCTACATTTTGGCAACTCAGCACTTTGTCGGCAAAAAGTGTCAGTCTAGAGGGGGATCTGTCAAGAAAGAAAGCCTTTTTCGACAGATCCCTTACGCCTCCTGCAAGGAGGTTAACAGGATCTGTTGAAAAAGGCTTTCTTTCTTGACAGATCCCCCTCTAGACCGCCACTTTTTACCAACAAAGTGCTGAGTTAGCAAAATGCGACAGCCATTTGTATGCAAATTAGACATGGGATGTTTAAATCCCTGCCTCATTTGCAATGTCGACCTGCCTAATCTACATCCCTCTGTCAGCAGAGGCATGTAGGCTAGACATACCCCAAGCTATGTCTAGACTGCAGGCTTCTTTCGAAAGAGGCTCTTTCGAAAGCATCTTTCGAAAGAGCCTCTTTCGAAAGAGAGCGTCTAGACTGCACGGAGAAATTTCGAAAAAGCGGCTTGTTTTTTCGAAAGAAAGCATCCAGTGAGTCTGGATGCTCTCTTTTGAAGAAGCCCTATTTACATTGAAGAACGCCTTCTTTCGAAAGAGGAACTTTCGAAAGAAGGCATTCTTCCTCGTGAAATGAGGTTTACCGCCATCGAAAGAAAAGCCGCGTTCTTTCGAATTAATTTCGAAAGAAGGCGGCTTGAGTCTGGACGCAGGGGAAGTTTTTTCGAAAAAAGGCTACTTTTTTCGAAAAAACCCCTGAGTCTGGACACAGCCCAAGTGATCCCTCTCTGTCTTTCCATTTTCAGACCCTGACAAACAGAGGCTGGGGACACCATTCCTACCCATTTTGGCTAATAAATATTAATGAACCTAACCTCCATGAACGTATCTAATTTTTTTTGGAACCCTGTTAAAATCCTGGTCTTCACAACATCCTTTGGCAAGGAGTTCCACAGGTTGACTTTGCACTGTGTGAAGAAAACGTCCTTTCATTTGTTTTAAGTCTGCTAGCTATTAATTTCATTTGGTGACGCCTACTTCTTAGGTGTGGGCTTAAGAAATAGTGAAATGTCATAGTTAGACACAAAGCTAAGTATCTGATTCTTTCCCCATGAATTTAAATCTGAATTTATTCTGTTGAATTTCTTCACCCTAGCCCCAGCCCCAAATCTATTCTCACCATCTGATCCATAAAGGCAAACCTTTAATAGGTATATGTGACTTCAGTTAACTCTTTTTCTAGGTTTCTAGATTTCTTAAAGTGACATCTACCTTCAAAATGTAATATTTACCACTCTGCGTTAGCAGAAAATTCAGGTTTGATGTTTCCCCTTGGTGGTTCTCGCCTGCCTAGCCTAAATGGAACACTGACACACAATGAAAGCAACTCTCTCTATATTAGGTACCCTCTTCCCATACCATTTTGTCAGCTCACAGGGCCATGGACAAACAGGATTATGGATTCACTTCAACACGATTAGGGATAGTTGCTTTTATTAATTTCTTTATGTCACCACTATTACAGGGTTAATACTGCCAAATGGTTACACAGCTACTGCAAGGTGACACATCAATAAGTGCAGGCAATGCATAAAAGAGTAACAGGCACTTAGAAATGCTTATGTCCCTTAAGTCTGCAGGGAGTCCCGTCACCATGCACCAGGGTTGCAGTGGACGTGGCTCCAGCTGGGCACCCTCAAGGTTAGGGACCAGACTCCCAATGTTCTTATACTTTAGGGCTTCGTCTACACTGGCCACGATTTCCGGAAAAGGGATGCAAATCAGGTAAGTCAGGATAGGGAAATCCGTGGGGGATTTAAATATCCCCCGCGGATTTAAATAAACATGTCAGCCGCTTTTTTTCCGGCTTGGCTAATAAGTATTGATGGAACTAACCTCCATGAATTTATCTAGTTCTTTTTTGAACCCTGTTATAGTTTTGGACTTCACAACCTCCTCTGGCAAAGAGTTCCATAGGTTGACTGTGCGTGGTGTGAAGAAAAACTTCTTTTTGTTTGTTTTAAACTTGCTCATTATTTTCCGTTAGGTGACCCCTAGTTCCTGTGGTAAATAACAGAATTTCCTTATAATTGTGGCAGTGCTGGCAACCATTGCATGGCTGGGGGGAGAGAGGAGAGAGTTCTATTGGAGTAAATAACACTTTCTTATTTCTTTTCTCCACACCAGTCATGATTTTATAGACCATTGTCATATTCCCTCTTAAATCAATTATTTTCCAAGCTAAGTCTCAGTCTTATTATATTTCTACGTATGGAAGCTGTTCCATTCCCCATATCATTTTGTTGTCCCTTTTCCAATGCCGATATATATATTTTTTTGGGGTGGAGCGACCACATCTGTACCCAGTATTCAAGATGTAAATGTAACTATGGTTTGGTATAACAGCATTTTTTCTTGTTATCTATCCCTTTCCTAAAGAGCCCTAATATTCTGTTAGCATTTTTGACTGCCACGGTGTCCAGAGTGGATATTTTTGAAGAAAGAGCCACAATGACTTCAAGATCTCCTTTCTGAGTGGTAACATCTAATTTGGACCCCTTCATTATATATATAGGTTCTCCAATGTGCACCCTTTCCCCTTGATCAACATTCAATTTTCTTTGCCATTTTGTTGCTCAGTTCTACCCCCTTTCCAGTGCAGTGATTGGGAGTAATCCGTATCTTCCCCACAAGCACCCTCCTTACGGTCACCACAGTCACTGTGCCTGACAGCGACTAGGAAGGTGATGAGCTATTGTCTTCCCATTCTCATGCCCAATTACTTAAAACCACTGCTTTATTGGAATTAAGAAATTAAAAAAAAAAAAGCTTTCATATCCAAAGAAAAAATAGCTGGTATGAGCAATACCACATACAAAATGACTATGAGGTGACAAAATCCAAATAAGTGTGCAAACTGTGCTAATACATCCCTTAACCCCGCAACTGCAGAATTTGCTATGGAATTTAGCCTTGCTGCAAGAATTGGGCTCCAGAATTCAAACTTGCATTGCAATCACCCACTACCACGGC